AAACAAATCTCTGGGGATTAGATTAGAGAAAAATAAAAAAAAAGATACGAGTGTTACCTGAAGAATGACTGAAATAAAAGCAGACGGAAACACAGAGATCGAGAAAAAATGTTTACGATTACTAATCAAAATATTGTATTGAATAACAATACATCTTAGGAACACTTTTTATTAAACGGAAACTGATTGTACATTTAATAATAATAATGTAAGCCTCAGAGACCACACAAAGTAGATGGATACAGTCAACGTAATACTAATGATGAATCAGTTTTTCGTTATAAATGGAAAGGCATATGGTAGGAAGAGAATATTCTAAGGATAAGGAAGAGAGACGACGATTGACTTTCTAAATACGCCAAGAATTAAGTCTCTAAAGAAACTGCTATTCGTTATGTGTTTCACAAAAATGTTTGCAAAAGGCTAAGTGAAATGATTTTCTTGAATAGTTACATGAGAGGGATTTGATTTTTTGTCTAGGTGGCGTGGCTTGTGTTCTAGAGAGTCAAAAACTATCAGTAATGGAGACAGAGAGAAAGATCATACAAAGAATATAATTAATTCTCTCAAAACTAGTTAAGCACTATCAAGTCTGGAAAGTATAAACTGAGTAACTCCATACCAGACATGACGAAAATATCCTATTTTTTACAATATTTACATTGCTTGCACTATCAATTAGCAACTGATTCAATATACTTTTTCCACTTTATTTACATTATTCGGACTATTGTCCTCATCTTTGTTGCCATATTTATCACCACGCTTTGACGGTTGTATGTTCCGGCCTTCTTCAGGTGGTTGGAATGTCGAACTGAACCCTTTATTTTGCTCGCTAGGGTAGACTGTTCTATTTCCACGGGGATCTAAAGTTCTAATGGATGTCAATTATCAGTTATCTCCTGCTGATTCACCCTCTCCACTTTCTCCACCGTCTTAACTCAGTGGATAAAGGCGTTGGTTAGATAAAGTGACAAGACCCAAAGAGTGTAAGTTCAATACCTGGTTAAGGCGATGTAGGACTTGGAGAGGTGAATTAACATGAGATAACTAACTGACATGCATTAGACATGGCACGTGGAACTAGAACTGTCTCCTCGAGCGAAATAAAAGGTTCAGTTCGACATTCCAACCACCTGAAGAAGGCCGGAGCGTACAATGGCCGAAATGTTGTGATAAATATGGCAACAAATTGAGAATGATAGACCGAGCAATGTAAAGAGTGTGCATAATACCTCATCTCATCTATTTTTGGTTTACTCCGAGGATAGTGGAATAAAAGAATCAAAGAATATATTCCGTGACTGTCATTGGGAACCGGTCCCAAGAAATCTCGCAAACAATGTTTGAATAATTAATATACTATCTTAAACATTTATAAATTTATCATTCTTGCATTGAATACAGTTGTCGTATCTGCTATAGTGATCATGCATCTTGAGATTCTTGATAACATTCATTGAGGGGTCCGTAATCTAATCGATCCTCACAAGCATCTTGACTTTCTCACCGAAGGGACATGGCTTTCCACTGACTTTTCTGTAAATATATTCATGGCAACTGTTCTCATGAGCTTTTTACTCTGATGTTCTGACTACATGCATTTAAGCGTACTACTAGATTGGCATCTATGCCTCAGCGTTTTACTCTTGAAATAGCTAGATGCAATCACCACCTCTATACTAAAAGTTTTCTTGTAATTGACACCAGTGTAACTCCTTTTCGATTTCTTGCTTCCCTGATAACTAAAATCTATAAATATTTTCATACAACGGAAATGGCCGTCTTCTGTATTCTTGAACCTTGTTCCTTTTTTGTCCTTGCTGGAGTCTTCTCCTTCTCTTTCACTATGTTCTAGTGTCAATATTGCCTCGCTTGTGATGGGGGGATTAAAAATGCACCCTCTTACTCAAATTGAGTAAAATTTATGTGGTATTGAAAAAAGTAAGTGGATATAAGATATACTTTTTGTAGACATGAGTATTGTTTGCAAAATATAAATGTCGACCTAAAGAAAGTAATCATGCAAAGTTCAAGGTGAATTTAGGCGACCAACAAGAGCAATTATGACTTTACCTTCCATCACAGATAATACTTTAAAACAGAGAAATTATTACTGGAAAGAATATCCTAACATTCGCCATGAAAACGGATATGACGAAAGACGTTTACAAGTGTTAGCTCTATAGGAAAAGTGCAAACCACTTACAGAAGTAGAACACAAAGACAAAAGAGAGATTACTGAGAAATACTTTTTAATAATCCCCAAACAAAGAAATAAAGCGACAAATACATAAGAGGCTGCTGAGTGTAAAAGAATAAAAGAAAGACAAAAGAAATTATTAATGGGCGAGAAAAATAAAAGAACATCAACTAAGAAGTCTGTAGATAACGACTGAATTTAAATTTTTGAAGATCAAAATTGTGGAAAGCTAGAATTTGAAGGAGGATTCCAAAAGAGGTGAGTGTGAGAAAAGAAACTATTAGCATATAATTTCCGTTTACATCTAACCATTTAAACTGTAGAATGATGTAACCTAGATATCAGTCTAGTAGTGAGCTTAAATTAACAATGTCTAGGTACCAAAGAGGAAAGTTTATCAGAAAAATTACCATGAAAGTATTTATAGAAACAGCACAAGGAAGCTACATTCAGGTAGTGAGGATGTGAATAAAACCGAGATGCCAGGTTAGGATCAATAACATTTGGATTTTATCAAAAATCTCTAAATATATAGTAAGAACATATATGCCAGCAATAACCAAACATAGACTTATAAATATAAGATATTTTTTCTAACACGAGACAGTAACCCAACATTTTATTAGCAAACCTAAGAATTCGTTCAATATAATATTTCGAATTCATGTCACCGTAAAACGTTTTCCCGAGAAGATGATTCACTCTTTAAAAAATAGTGTGAATATAAAAGAAGCAACACAAGAAGAAATTATCGTTGAACAGGATACTTTTGGAATATCATATTCGATGTGTCAGCATACGCAAACCAGGTGGATATTTCTAAAGAAGAATGAGAATATATTAAATAGTGATCTTGGAATGTAGAATGAAATTAAGTGCTATAGCAAAATATTGTATATTATAATCGAGAGCTACACTGTTGAATAAAACTGTAGTTCACATAATAACTTGAACACGGGGAATGATGATAGAAATCGATACTTCCCTATATAAGCTTTTGTGTCTCCGATAGCTTCAAAAGTTCTTGCAAGAAACTTTCAACATTTTGATCTGTTTCCCTTCCTTTTAAAGTCTTTCAAAATGTTCCTGTCCTCTTGTTATATTACCTTTTCTTTAATTTTAATTCCATTGATTTTTATCAAAGTTACTTTGCATCAGTTTTATTCTTACAGTTTCAATCTTTTCTGTAGGTGTTCTGGTATACTTCAAGAAACATTCCCACAACTTTTTTTAATCGTTGGATTTTAGGGGTTTTTTTTGTTTTGTTTTTTTTCGTATCTTTCCACTTTCCTCAGCCAGAAATCTTTCTTTACCAAGTTTCTCTCAGTTTGGCGCGCATGTCTACTATCAACAAACTTCATTAGCTCTTACTAGGCAGACACCAATCTAAGCTAGACATAAGCAACCTTTTCCACATGAGATATGTCTCATTATAAGCCGGCTAACATTATTAAAAATATTCAAGGGAGTTTTTTTCATTTAAAATGCCGCAGTCGTTTTAACTACAGCAGATCATACGCGTGAGAATTTGTTTTTTTTTTAAATGGTGAAAAGTTGATTCTTTTTTCCTCCGAAGTATTTTCGTAAATGAAAAAAATTGAAACTTGGTATAATATCATCACTGATTGATATGTGGTTGGCATACGCTGCTGCGTGTAACATGTTTAATTCGTTCATTTGTGTACAGAAAAGTAAAAGAAGAAAGATTATTAGTTCTTCATAGAAATAGCAATGTTTATGAACGTTTCTCATTCTCAAAGCATAAAACTGTTACACCACGATCATCCTTAGTGAAAATCGACAATGGTTAAATATATTGAAAATCTTACCTTGAAAGAAACGTTAAAAATTCAAGAAACATTATATTTGATCATAGTAATTTTTGTCATTATGTATGTGAATATGTAATTGTAAAAATACAATGTAATTGTTAAAAAACAGCGAAAATTGTTACCACCTGAAATTACATGTGTCAGTCAAAATACTAAACGGGCTGCAATTTACCTAATATAGACAAATCAATTAAATTTGTTTTTGATTAATTGAACTGTATTTTACAGCTTATCAATCATTTGTGGGTTATTTAAAGCCGAAAAATACTTTTGGATTGTAAGAGCAACTCCTTTTGGAGATTGAATATTGAATTTACAATATTTGTGGATAAAATAATGTTCAGATACAAGTCCTACAATATGAGCAAAACTGGTGACAGAAAAGGTGGATTTCTATATTGGTTGAGGGTATTATTGCATACGTGAATGTAACGCACCGAACTGGAATTTGAACCCGTCTCTTCGAATTCTCATTTCGAGCCTTTAATCATTACGACACCCGTACATCCAGACTTGTAGCTCCTGGTATTTCTAACTGACATACATCAAGATACTGAACATGCTTAACAATGCTTAAATTCGGTCAAGAATTGGATTTTCAAAATAATATGTCCGTTAAACTTTATATGGACAAGCATTTCAGTTGTGATTTAAGCCTAAGTTTTTCAGCTAGAACTAATTTCTCTATAAGGCAATCGTTACATTGGTCTGCACCATACTATCGCATGGATTAGTTCTACTGACGAATGGAAATTAGTAACTACATGGCAACTTATACTTACTTGACATTTCTGGAAGCCTATCATGTATATTGAAAATCTAACATTCCTGGACAAATTGAACGGAAATTAAACAGTGGAAAATCGACCACACAAATTAACACGTATATCTGAATGGATTGCAGAAGAAGATGAAAGTTACATATAAAATTTCTTAGAGAAACAAATGTGAGGATTGCCATGATCATGAACATCCTTAAGTAGTATGTCACATGAAATAAGAAACGAATGTATTCAATTCTAAAAATAACAAATAAATGTTAGTATAATATTTGCATAACGCAGTAATAATGTTATCATTATAAACAAAACCAAAAAACATTTAATCAGAGATGAAGAGGAAAAAACTGGAAGCAACAAAAAATACAGTCATCGAGAAAGATGCAAAGAATAACATGGACGGAGCGTGCAAGCAACGAACAAGGAAAATGGTAACAAAAAACATATATTCATAATGAGGAAGAGACAGCGTTTATTAAGCTGTTTAAAACTCTCTTCTTCTCATCTTTGTGATGCTACTATTTGAATCTTAGTTACTAACAGATTTTTAAAAATAATTCCTGGACACAGCTTCATACTCATCTTCTTCGAAACATACACCGAATTCTTGAATATAAACCTGAAGTGGAAATAGAGACTACACATTTAATATTACATATTCCATACGCGTTGTTCTTCATAATCACGTTCCTACATTTTCCCTTGATCGCTTAATTTTCTTTTCCTTTCTTTCTTTCGTTTTATTTTTTCTTTCTCCAAATTCTTTTTCCCACGTTTTCCGTTCATCGTTTAATATTCTTTTCCTTTCTTTCTTTCTTTCTTTCTTTCTTTCTTTCTTTCTTTCTTTCTTTCATTATCCGTTTATCGTTTTTCTCTCTCTCTTTCTTTCTTTCTTTCTTTCTTTCTTTATCCGTTTATCGTTTTTCTCTCTTTCTTTCTTTCTTTCTTTCTTTCTTTCTTTCTTTCTTTCGTTTTCTTTTCCTTTTCTTCATAAACTCTTTCTTTTTTTTCCGTTCATCGATTCTCTTTCTTTCGTTTGGGTTTCTCCTACTTCACAATCTCTTTCCTGCTTTTTTTTCCGTTCATCGTTTTACTTTCTTCTTTCATTCGTTCTTTCTAGTAATACCCATTCGTACATCCCATATTTTACTTTTTTACCATTTATAATTCTTTCGTTTTTTATTTTTCGTTCAATTAATATTTCTTTCAAGCCTTCTATCTTATTTTTTTATCTTACTTTTTTATATTTTCTTTCTTTCTTTATTTTTCTTTCTTTCTGTTTATCTTATATCTTCCATACTTTCTCTCCGTACATATGTTTCATCCTTGGTCTTAATTTTATTTTATCTTTGTCACTTTCTTTCTCATGATCGACTATTGTTTTTGATTACTCTTTCATTCTAAGTTGACTTACTCTCTTTCACGTTCACATTTTTCCGTCTATTCAGAAATCAACAACTCTTTGTGTCCTACGGCTAATTCGAAAAAAAAAGCTTTGCCCAACTTCAATTCTCATTTTAATTGTCATTCAATTGACTTCGACTATTTTTGGTTTGTCAGCCTGTGCCACTAACATATGCGATTCTACAAATTCTCATTGAAGTTAAGCTCTTTTCATCTTTGGATCCAAAATTCTATTCCAGAACTCAACAGACGATTAATTACCCGACCGCTTTAAAACACTCGGAGAGAAAAGCACGTATTGTCTTTCATGAAACTCTTCAAAACGAAGAATTCAGATGATATTTATTTCTCAAGACTAAATATTTCTAACTGGTTAAGGTGCTACTGAAAACTTCGAAGATCATCATTTCGTTTTCATTTCTCACTGATTATGATGATAATTTTTTTTATTTATATTTTGTTATGATGTTTTATAATTATTATATAATTATGTTTCAAAATGACTCTTTCAAAATGACTCTTGCAAAATTTTCAACCTTGTAAAAGTTCTAATTTCAATTCTGACGTAAACTCTGATACTGTTTTGATAGTGTAAATATTTTTTCGTTTAATGGGGTATATTTATGCCCCAATTTTTTTTCCTAACGTAGTATGTATGGACTTCATACTTTCATATTTTTCTCCATAATACTGTAGTATTTTCCTAACTGATCTGACTGACCTATTCCATCAAAAATGAACCAAAGTTGCTGTATCCATTTTCAGTAAGACTGTAATGGCACCATCGATACATTCATTTCTAAACATGTTTGTGTTTGGCAATTTTAATGCTCGTCATATCAAGCTCAACTATTCTACTGTTACTGATGTTGCTTTTTTTCAAATTTTTAATTATTTTTCTTTTGGTCAGTTAAATAGTTTCCTTAATAATTCTCTTCAACATTCTCCTTTACTTCCTCCCCTGAATTGTGACAAGCATCAAAAATCTATCCTCTTTGATATTCGCATCACGTTGTAGTATTTTTTTTTATATTTATTTGCTTCGTCCATTAGACATGATGCTCAAGATCAAAAGAGGCGTCCCTTTGGGTGTTTTCGTAAAAGTTTCATACGTGTCATCATTGAGGCTGAGTCTTTGTTCGCATGACAGAATATGGCACCTCTAAAATATTTCTTTCTCGTGACAACTGTCGTGTCTGTAATGGTGTGTTAAATAAGAATAAATCTTCTATCACTCCTCACCTCATTCAGTTTGTGGTGTTATTATCTAATGATGACAAAGCAGAATGATTTGCTCGTAAATTCTCTTCCATTTCTGTTCTTGATTCATGTAGCGTAGCTTTGCCTGGATTTTTATTTAGAACTCCAAATCTACTGTGTGATATGCATATAAATCAATTGATATATCCGTATGTGTTATCATCTCTAAACTAGATCTTCAAACAACATATGGACTTGATGATATCCCTGGAATTGCCCTTGAGAAATGTGATCCCGGGCAGGTTCCTGTTCTCTCTAAACTCTACAATAAATTCCTTGCTGATCCATGTGTCCCTGCTTGTTGGAAATCCTCTTCTGTGGTTCAATAACTCAACTGAAAGCATCTCAATTCGCAGGCTCTTCTTTCAGACAAGTAATAATGCTTTCGCTACTCTAAGTTAACAGCTAATGCATTAACGATTATTGCTGAAAGAGTCTATCAAGAACGGTGAAGCCTGGACTGTTGCTTTTGGTATCTGGAATGAGTTTAACAGGGTTTGGTATGCTGGTCTTATTCACAAATTGAAATTTCATGTTATTACTTCCTGAATGTCCTATGTGATACAATATTTCTTATCAAATCGCGAAATGAAAGTTATCTTGAACGGCCAATCTTCCGGGTTTTTTGCATTAATTCGTGTGACCCCCCAGGACTATATCATCTAACCTGCATTGTTACACATTTCTTGGTGTCACCAGTTCAAATCTCGGTTTTTATGTTGATGACAAAATTCTTTGCTCTTGTCTTAACGGTAACTGACGTTTTTACTGACAGGAAGTGGAAAGTTTATATTGAATCCATTGCTAGGTTTGCTGCTCGGAAAGTTGTTCACTATGCCTTGATAAATAATTACAATTGCTGGAATCTGTCATACACATGTATAAGTTTTCTATTCATTCCTGCATTGAATATTATTGTCACACCAGGTCTACTGATTCTGCTATATATTTAGACATTCTTAAAAGAACAATCTGTTTTGTTATCTATCATGACCAGGCATCTCGGCTTTAGTTACAATCGCACCGCAATAACGTACCTTTCCTGTGTCCATTTTATTAATATTTTCATGGTAATTGCTCTAACGAGCTTTCCTCTTAGGTTCCCCGACTTGTCAAATTTAACAGATCACTACTACTCCCTATGCCTTGCATTGTTTTCAGTTCATGTTTTGCCATGAGTTTCCGAAGTATAAACACCAACCAGCATATCAATGAATTGCTATTATAGATATTGATTCTATTTTTCAGCATGAGCTCGACAACCTTCTGCTCTTCGTTAGAGCGCGTCTGATAAATTTCTTTATATCAAATTATCCAATAAATCTGCACGTTGTGTCGTTCAAGGCCATTTTATTATAGTTAAACAATTTAGAAACCCACATTGTGAGCTGGTTTCTAATAAAACTTTTCCCGTACTTCGTAACAAACTCTGAGGCTTCTAAGTTAAGACAAAAGAAGAAAACGAATTAAGCTGGAGGCCATGAGATTCGATGTAATATGTGGTTACAACACAAAGAAAGATCGAGAATAATGCGATTAGAGACAAGAATTTCACTAAGTTTCCACTGGTTTTTTTCACTTGCACGCAGCTCTGCCTTGGTTCCAATGTATAACTCTAATATTGGACCGGCAAAATAATTAAAAAAAAGGAATTCTGATTGGATTTGGTTTTGTTAAAATACCTGTAAACAAAGAATAAGACGAATGTATCCTTCTGCACGGGTGCATTTATATCTTTTGGCTTTAATAGTTTGTTTACAAAGTACAATTGCTTTGAAAGAATATGGAATGTAAAATAACGTATTGTTAGAAAATATGTACGCACATACACAGGGACACAAATATAGACAAACACAGAGAAATAAATGTATTATATATAAAATGACCTTCTCATTTCCTACACACACACACACACACACACACACATATATATATATATATATATATATATATATATATATATATATATATAAGACAATAATAAGACAATATGAATTAAGACAAAAGGAAATCTAATTCTTATAAACGTAGCTTATCCTCAGAGGCCGAAACGAGTTGGTAAAGAATAGCTTTTTTATATATATATATATATATATATATATATATATATATATATATATATATAAAAATTAACTGGTTCAAAATATGTTTTTCGCTACATAGTTATAACCATGTTTCAAAAATGGAAGCTAAAAGCTTCGAATTTAATTTTGTAATTAAATTCAGGACATTAGCTCCATTTCATCCTCAAGCGAATTTTGGAGTAACTTATTTTTTAAATTACTGGGTTTTAAAGTCGCTGCAAAAATTCATAATTCACGTTTCCAAGGATACAGAGAAATCCGTTCATCCAGACCAGGGGTGGTTGCTTGTTCATTATCGCTGTTTTTTGTTGTATCAGTTATTAGTTACGTTTGAAGAAAGGTTTTCGTTTGGGTAGGGGTAGGGTTGTATTTTTCAAGGAATTCTGACATCCGTTAAGTGCATGTCGTCTGGATTTTTTTTTAAATTTTTAGTTTTAACTGCAAAAATTCTTACGGCATTTTTTCCCTTTGTATACTTAAAGATTTTTGGGGGTGTTTAGGTTAAAATACTTTTTATTTAACTACGATTTTTAAAAATATTTTTACTTTTAATTTTTTTATATATATAATTATTTATTTAAAAATTATAACATAGATATGTTATAAAATCACTACAAAAATAGCCATTTTTGCTTCAACACCTTTGGTGTCTTATCAAGTGATGATGTTGAATGTAGAATGAAGGTTTTAAAACGTTCAAATCATCTAACCACCCCTCGTAAGGGGAAACGCTGTTACATGAGCTGAAGTGACCAATCAAAAAACAAGTGTACGAGAATTCAAAAAACTTGACAACGAAGTAAGGTTATAATATATATATATATATATATATATATATATATATATATATAAATATATATAAATGTTTGCCACTTAGCTTACTGATGTTACCCTCAGCATCCTTACTCAAAAGTTTTGTAGACAGGTTCTTCGAGAATCACTCCATCCTTCGTCAGCGGTTATCAGCAATTGACTGCTTATAGATCTCAGTTTATTTCTATATACACATTTAATCAATGTAAGATTTTTATAGTGTATGTGTAAGTGTCTGAGTGTGCATTCGCGCGTCCATGCCCCCGACGTGCGCATGTGTAGAATGTCGTGTTTATTAGTCATTTTCTTTGTTTGTTCTTTTTTTTAAATTTACACAATCTTCGACCTTTTCTCTTTTTTTCTATTTGTTTCAGTTGTAGCCATTTTAGCTTCCTGTTTTCTAGAAATGTACCGCTACATGATGTATTAATTTTCCTTCTTTTCTCTATGTTTCATTAACTGTGACGTACAAACTATATTTTGTAAGCTTTCATTGAAATGTTTCTTTTGTTAGTACGTAATTTCTTTTTATGAGAATTAAGAGTATTTATTATTGGCCAATGCACAGGCGTATTCATTACTCATTCTCTACAGGTTGTTTATTTGTGTGTTTCTGTGTTTCTCTTCTATATAGTGTTGTATAGTAATAATCTCTTGTTACTATGCTTTAAATTCTCAAAAAGCACATACACGTACACGCCGACACTCAAATCACATACACACATAGAAATATATATATGATAAATATACTTTTTCCATTGTGATATATTAGTGGAAGAGAGAGCTCTATATAAGTGACAGATGTAAACATGTAAATATAAACAGTGTGACCATAGGTATCAATAGTGATTCATGACTGTATGTTTCATTCTAAAAAGTAATCGTTAGAGCATATAGGTGGACGACTATGTACATGTTTTGTTTGACACTGGAAAATATAGAATACTATAACTATATACTTCTCATTCTCTGTCTACCTCTCTCATTCTCTGTCTCTTTGTCTATCTGTCTG